AACAATAGTTCTGTTTGCAACTTTTTCAATAAACCTTGTTAAAAGTTTATGCTTAACATTTTGCCTCCATAAATTTTAAATAAATTTACACATGTAAAATTATATTTATGTACACTGTGTGTGTATACATGTGTATATAAACATATAAAGACATTTAAGTATATAGGAACTTTTTTTTTGTGGTACCAGGGATTGAACTCTAGACCTTGCACTTGCAAGGCAAGCTCTTATGTCACTGATCTACCTCCCCAGCCCAAGAACATTTTTGTATATGTAGATGCAATTACATATATAGTATACACAACTAAGTAAGAGGTGAGTGTGAAGTGAAATGAAAACATCTTTAAAAAGTAATTCCTAGAGGGCTGGTGAGATGGCTCAGTGGTCTAAAGCACCTACTTAGAGCAAGCTCAGCAAAGCGCAGGGACCACGGTTCAATCCCCCAGCACCACATGCCAGCCAGCCCCGCCCCCTGGTGGACTGAGCTGGCCACACACACACACACACACACACACACAAACACACACACACAAATAAATAAATAAAAATTTAAAAAAAAAAAAGTAATTCCTAGAACAAAAATGATGCTGCTGACCACTTGGCAAGGATATTTACTAATAATTTAAATCCTAAAACTAGTCAGTATTTTTAGAAGGTAGTCAACAAATACCAAAAACTTACCATCTTGTTAAACACCTCCTTTCATCTTCAACCTCAGTTTCCTTTTTTTTTTTTTTCAACCTCAGTTTTCTACATTGCTCAGTCTCCATTTTTCTATTTTAGCTATCAGCTCTATGTGTTAGTTTGTGGTCACTGTGACCAAATTACCTGAGAGAAGTTTAAAGTTTTATTTGGCCCATAGTTTCAGAGATTTCAACTCATGGTCAGCTAACATCTTTATTTCTGGACCCTGAAGTGAGATAGAACATCCTGGCAAAAGAGTGTAGAGGAGCAAAATTCCTCAGCTCATGACAGTCAAGAAGCAGAAAGATACCAGAATTTTTTTTTTTTTTTTTTTTTCCTGAGAGAAAAATATCAGCAGAGCCACAGAGAAAAGGGCCAAGATAGTCCTCAAGGTCCAGATGATATAGGGGAATGAAACTCCCAACCTGAAAGATACCTGGGACGAGTTTGTGTTTTCTAAAACCAAAGAATGAATTTTAGGAACAAATGGAGGTTAAGAGCAGAATATTTATTGGGGGAAAGAAAACTGGCAGAGAGAGAGAGAGAGACAGAAGGAGGACCCAAGCGGGTTACTCCAAGAAGCTGTCCCTTCCAGGGATTTTTATACAGTAAAACCATGTGGAGAGGCAGGTCTAATGTGCAGAATGGGGGAACTCACTTAGGTGGGCATGTGGTGGGACAAAACTAGTCAACCAGTAAGGTTACAAGCACCATTGCTCAGGTAAAATGGATTAAATTCAGGACCGAATGGGAAAGTGAGTCACATAGCAAGGTGGCATGAATATAGAACAGGACTTTATCAAGTAGCTGGTAGCAGGCAGATTGGTGACTCTTCCTGGCTTCCTCAAGGAGATCAATCTCAGATGCTTATCTTTAGGGAGGTCAGCATTTGTTCCATCTTTGGTCTTTAGGTCTGGCCCACGGCGGGAGCATCTGTCCCTCTTACGTTTGTAAGGTATCTTGTCTTCCATGTTACCTCCTTTGAGGGCCTAGCCTGCCTGCCTGCCCATAATATTTCTAGCTAACTCAGCTGCCCACAATAAGGATACCATTCTCTGCTCCCTTATTTAGGCTCTTTTTCCTGTTTCTGTCATGTTGTGGCTTACATCTAGATGTCCCCCCAAAGCCCGATGTGGTCCTAGGTGGGGCTTTTCAGAGGTGGCTGACTCTAGAGTGTGTGATGATGGAATGGAGGTGTGTGCTTACTAAATCAGTTCCCTGATTGGCTTGGCCTAGTTCTGGGTGTGGATAATGGGAAGGCCCACAGTAGGTGTGAGTGCTACCTGCCCTAAGGACAGGAAGCCTCAGTAGAATATAAAGGACCTAAAGAGAACTGCTGTCATCACCTGCCACTTGTTGCTTATCTGCTGCTGCCTCCTGCCTGCTCTGTGGTGCGCCTCTGCCTGCCACCTTGCTTTGTAGCCAGCCAGTTATAGACTGAAACCTCTACAAACTGTGAGCCAAAATAAACCTCTTTCTTTAACTTTGGGTGGCAGGCGTTTTGTCTCAGTAATGAGGCACTTCTCAATAATGCCATCTAATTATCTCATCAGTGGATCAGTCTGCTGATAAAATTAGAGCCATCATGATCCAGTCACATCTGTAACTAAGCCTTTAGCGCATGAGTCTTCAGAAGACTTCAAATTCAAACCATAACAGTTTACTACTGCATGTTACCCAAATTTACTTGAAGCTACCAGTCAATGAGTCAATAAATTTTGTGGCCCCAGAGCTCAAACCAAGGGTGTCATGCACACTCTACTGCTGAGCTATTTCTGTTGCCCCTAAGAATTATATTGTTAAGCTTTGGTTTCAGGCTATAAGGATACTTAGTTTTGAGGTATGCATTGAGGCTATTTTATACTCCTGTAGTTCTTTAATTTACTTCATAAGAAAATTAGCCAATATAAAATTACTAGGCATTGAGCATTGTAAGCATAGTTTTATGTTATACCCTTAATACAGGGTCAGTTTTCTTTCTTTCTTTCTTTCTTTCTTTCTTTCTTTCTTTCTTTCTTTCTTTTTTACTTTATGTTCTCCTTGTATCTTATTTTCTGTGTGATAGGTTTTTTCAGGCACTGGCGCATCAGAGAAATAGGCAGAAGGAAAAAGAGGAAGGGGTTTTATTATCTTTGAAGACATGGAAAGAATCTAGGGCATCTTTTTTTAAAAAATGTATTTAGTACAGGGTCTACAAGGTCTCACTACACAGATCAGACTCAATAGTGATCCTCCTGTTTTCAGCCTCCTAAGTGCTGGGATTACAGGCCTGCGCCACCACACCCAGTCTCAGCCACCATCTCAGCTCACCCTGGGGGTAGGGCCGGCACAGCATGTCTTGGAGAAAACCTAGGGAAGATGAAGATTCTCTGGATTTGAACAAAGGGAGGCTGAGGCCTTTATAACCTTTTGCCAAGGGTGCAATTTGAGGGGAGATGTTTATTTTTATTTCTTTTCTTTTTCTTTTTTTCTTTTTTTCTTTTTTTTTTTTTTTTTGCAGAATTTGGGATTGAACTCAGGCCCTTACACTTGCCAGAGAAGTGCTTATTCTACTGAGCCATCTCCCCGGCCCCTTAAGGGAGATATTTAGATATACCTGAGAAGCTGATTGGGGGTCTTCCCTGAGGTGGCAGGAAGGGTGAAAGGAAATTGTACCCTGGATTGAATGGGAGAAGGGGAGATGTGGTCTTAGGGAAGATGGGCTGTTGTTTTAAGGGCTTTAGCCATATTAGATGACCACCATAACGACTTAGCAATTTATACTAGGGCCAGAACCTATCACTGTGTACCATGGTTATCTTTGATGATTTGTTAGATGTATTTGCAGAGGGTTTTGTTTTTGTTTTTTTTTTGTTTTGTTTTGTTTTTGTTTTTGTTTTTGTTTTTGTTTTTTTTTGATACCAGGGATTGAATTTGGGACCTTGTGCTTGCCAGGTAAGCACTTATTGTACTGAGCTATCTCCCCAGCCCTGTTAGATGTATTTGTAACATTTCTGTGGGGATAGTTTGAATCCTTTCTTCAGAGATTATTTCATTTGCTTCTGCCAACTTCTTAGAAGCATAATCTGGGATCATCTTGAGCTACTGAAATAATCCAGAAAAGGAGAAGTCAGTTTTCAAGTACATGGGAGAACTAGTTTACTTCTGACTCATCTTTATTTTGAGCATTTAGCTGTCTAGGCTATATCTTTTAAATTTTAGTGACTTTGATTTTGGCCACTCATTTGTTTTTGCAGATCTTCTTTGCAGTTGGTAATGTCTTTAGGGAAAAGAAAAAGTATGATCTTATCTTTTCAATGACAAATTCCTCAGAAGCTCTTTAGGCCTGATCTGCATATTTTAAAATCCACAAACATGGCAGTCTGGGAGCCCAAAGCAACTTGCTCTGGCAGTTGTGGTACCATCATGTCCTCATGTATCTGGGCTCCTTGGCATGCGTGGTTGCTTTATGACTTCTCGTGGTACTTGCCACTCCTCTCTCACTGTCTTGTCTCCCTGCAACAAGTCTTTTCTGAAATAATAGTCCATATGGTACGAGATTATCATTCCTAGGTCCTCCTCAAGCCCTGAAATTCCATGGTTCTAATGAGTGATTTTACTTCTTAAAAAGAAATATATCTATATATTAGAAAAACCAAGTAAATTCTTTGCTCTAGAACAGTAACCACAAAGGCCGACCAGATAGCTCAGCGGGTTAGGCAGAGTTCAGTGGTTCAATCCCCAGCATGCTGTGCTGGCCCTACCACCTGGGCGTGCTGAGACAGTAATTGAGACTGAGCATGGTGGCACGCACCTATAATCTCAGTGCTTGGGAAACTGAAAACAGGAGAATCACTTCAAGTCTGATCTACGTGGGAGACCCTGTAGATCCTGTATTAAATACAAAAAGGAAAAAAAAAAACCTAGCAATCACAGATTAGAATAAATCATGATAGAGTAGATCATACAAATTCTTTTGTGTCAGACAGAAGCCTTTATTGTACTTAAAAGTAAAGACCACCTAACCAAGTGGTGCTCCATTTATCCTTGGAGTCCAGTGACTCGTTAGACTCGCTTGTAATTCTTTGTCGAACAGTTTTTTAAAAATGTTTTGATAACTCCCAAAAGATAGTTTTTTACTGTTACATCTTTTTCACATTATCTAGTTAAAACAAATAGTTTTCTCTATCATTCCCTGTGTGTTTAAAACCTTTGAATGCCCCCCAAATGTAAAATAGGGTTTATTCAAATCTTACAGGAATGTCTTAATTTGCAAAAATAATGGATTCTTTTGAATAAAATTTCCTTTAACTGCTATTTTACTTTTTAAAATTTAGGCAACTCAAAGTACTTTATTGCCAACCTCTACCTCTTTTGATTCTGCAAGAGAAACTATGCCTCCAGCAGCCCCTAAAGTCCAGGAATCCAGTCAATTATCAAACAGACTCATGATTGAAAAACAGGTAAAATATTTTAAGTCACTGTTTCTCAGTATGTGCCAAAAAAAAAATTAGGTCTACAAATGTGAAAAACCTGACATTAAAAAGATCCTTTGGTTAAACAATTTTGGGGACCTCTGGGTTAAAGATTATTAAATGTCTTTATCACCCTGAGACCTTACACTCAGCATTTTCCTCCTTATGTAGTACTAGTAGTAAGTTGGTGTTTGTAGCACCTATTTTGAAAAATGACATCTCTTACTGTTTTTAGAATTTATTCATTAAGTTCCAAGAGATATCAGGTAAGAACATTATTTGAAATGTATAATCTTGCTTTGTAAAATTATTTTTAATGAGTTATACAGTAGACCTTCATTGAGAGATTCATATTAAGCTTTTGGTTCCTTCTGAGATATCAGTGATAATTTTGCATCCACCAAATAGTTAAGCTCTGTGTCTGAAGATCTAAATTATAAAAGAGTGATAAATTATGTAAGAAAGAAATACATTAAAAATAAGCGGGGAAAATGTCAGAAAGAAACATTTCAAAGAACCATCAGAATCACCTATTTGGAGATGATTGGTTCTTTAATATTTAGAGGCATTGGATATGAAGCATATAGCACTTTTATTTGTATTTTGTCAGTTGTCCAAATTTTTAATCTGTAGGGGAGGGTACTGAGGATAGGACCAAGGGATTCTTGTGTGCTAACTAACCATGTACTTTACCACTGGTTACATGTTATTTTTATGTCCTTTTCTTTTTCTTGTTTCTTACTTTTTCCCCCCAACTAAGGTTTTTGTTGATTTCTGAGATTTAAGATTCCTTTGTTTAGGATGTAAATTTAGAATGAGATACGAGATTTATTTGTCTTTTTAGGATAATTCTATTAGGATCCATTATTCAGATTGATAGCCTCCTTTTTATGGTTAGACCTTGTCCATTATACAAACGAATATGTAAATTATTGGCTCTGTGTAATTAGCTGTGTCTTAAGGTTTTTTTTGTCATCCTACTAATTATTAAAGTACCACTTATTTCTGAGTGTTTTAGGTACTCTATTTAATTGATACTATCTAATTTGCATCTATTTCTTCTGATGGGACCTGGTCTTGTTCATTTATATTTTTGTGCTTCATGGACATTACAGGATATTTTCTGTTTGCTTTAATTTGTCCAGTAGTGCCTACGTGTGTATATTCTGTATAATTTGTGTTAATTTGCAAACTTCTAGTCTGTTGCTTATTTTGTTAGAAATTGTATTTATGTGTTTTAATCATAAGCATAAAATTCACATTTTAATAAACCCTTTGGAGAAAAAGTTCTGTTGATATGAAAGCATAGGAAATTATATGTAAGAAATATCCTTCATATCTTAAAGTTGATCCTTTTTTCTGCCTTTGTACTTGTAGCAGGAGGAAGCAGAATGGGAAACCATGAATGTACTGTTAATCAGGCATGGCTTAAGACCCTTGTGCCTAGTCAAAAGAACAGAACTTAAAGGTAATCAAATCTTGTTTTTTATTCTGCAAAACAAAAATTATTTTTTCTTTAAAAATTTTTTATCTGGATGTGCTCAGTCCTTCTGGTGTACTGTGGAAATGAGCTGCAGTGCTGGGCCAGCTTTGCTTGGGCCTTGGGTGGAGGAGGGGGGACTTGGGTTTCACTTTTGTTTTTCCTTTGACCCTGGCAAGCTAGACTAGGAGAGGCTCACCCTTGCCCCTGGGACTGCTGTCCCCAGTCCTTTGCCCCCCACCTCCTATCCCCAACCTTGTCCTGGGTCCTATCGTATGCCAGGCTGTGTGGCCCTGGGCCAGGAGCCTGAGCTGTCCAAGAAGTGCTGCTCTGAAACCTTATGTTGTAATGCATAGGAAGCAAAGAATGTGAAAAGGGGGACCAAGTGCCACTGTGTGTGACAGGGAGTCCACAGAAGAGATTGTGTCTCAGGACTGTGCCGTCAGCACCGTAGATTCCCTGATCAGCTTGCCATTTGCCATTATAGATAACTGAAGATGCTTGTGGATTCACTGATATTCCTCAGATAAACTTGAAGAGGAATGAAGAAAAGGAATAAAGACCAAGCAAGGGGTTGGCCAGATAGCTCAGTGGATTAAAGCACCTTCTTAGGCAGATTGGGGCAGGGGCAGGGGTTGGATCCCTCGTGTTGTGCCAGCCCCGCCCCCAGGGCACGCCGAGATGTGGATTGAGACTGGGTGTGGTGGCAGGCACCTGTAACCCCAGCGATTGGGAAACTGAAAAACTGTAAGGATCTCAAGTCAGATCTGTGTAGTGAGAACCTGTAGGCCCTGTAGACCCTGTACTAAGATACATTAAAAAAAAAAAGCAAGCAAATGAAGAAAAGGAAAACGAAGGATTATCAACCCAACTATTTCCTATCCATTCCCATTACCAACAAAAGGATTACAAGAGGAATTAAGACCCTGCAAAGCATGATAATACAGGATGAGTGACTGGCGAAAGCAGTGGTTGGTGGTAGCTCCTTTCATATTACCTTGCTAGTGACGCAGTTATTAAACGAAGATGAAGTGAACATTGGTGTGGATGCACTTTAGCAACGGAAGCTGTCAGTAGAAGATGTCTTCCAGAGAAGGTGTGTAACATTTCCCTTCCAAGGGACTGACACCTTCAGAAATCAGGTTGGCTTTGTAAGCTAGTGGACAAAGAGCACATCCCCCCACTTTCAGAGAATGCAGAGAGTACAAAGAGGATATTTCAAGACAGAGGTATCCTGGCAGGAAAAAGCAGAAGTTATAAGCCTTGCTTGACCTTTATGAAGTTTTCCAAAGCCCCCTGGCTCCGGAAACGTGGAGTGAAAAAGATAGACCCCAAGTGGTATGAAAAATTGATCAAGCACAGATTTGGAGAAGAAGCATTACACCACATAGATCTTTGTTCCAAGGAGAAGATAGAACAGAGTAATGGTTATAATTGCTGTGAGTCTTCAGTTATGGTTGGTAAGAAACTTATTGGAACCCAAGGCTTAATGAAGTTTTGGGACAAGAAAAGATGGGCCTGAAGTCCAAAGTGGAACTGAAAAGGAAAATTTTATTAATGCCTGAGACTAAAGCCAAAATTAGGGAGTTTTTTGAAGGAAAACTCATTAATAACAGTAATCAAGCAGCTAATGTTGATTTCAGCACAACTTTGACATAAACCTTTCCTTGCTATTGTAGCATAGTTTATAAAATTTCAGCTTGTTGGTAAACATCAAAGTGTTCTTTTTTTTTTTTTTTTTTTTTGGCAGAACCAGAGATTGAACTCGGGCCCTTGCGCTTGCCAGGGAAGCGCTTATTCCACTGAGCCATCTCCCCGGCACCTATCAAAGTGTTCTGACAGTTTGTATGTAACAGTGGACCAATATTGGGTGCAGAATTAATCCTTTCTTACCAAGGAAAACCGATTTTGCCATTTTTCTGAGCTGATCTTGTGTTTTAGGATGTTTGTAAAATAATGAGGCATTTTATAGAAATGACTTTGTAATGAGCTTTTGTGAGACGTTCATCAGGTCCTTGCAGATAAAGAATGGCCTGAAAAGTCATCTGCAGACAAAATAAAATAAAACCAACATTATTTTAAGTGTCACTTGCCTCCTGTTAACAAGATTGTTTCTAAAAAGAAACATCCAGTTGTGTCTACCTTTAGTGTTACTTTTAATGAAAATTTGAATATTTTTGAACATTAACCTTGAACCAATTTTTATAAATGTAATAATTGCAATCACTGGTTAAGAATAGTTTATAATACATGTATTATTTTTCACTGATCAAAAAATTAGTTTGCCTTGTCATTTCTTATTGAATAAATGTTTAGGATTTTTGTTTTCTATCTTTCTGAAGATAAACCATAGGTCTTACTGTATACCTTTGCATTTGTTTGCATTGGTTTATTTTTAAAGAGCATTCTTGAAAAATTTCTCCCCGTGATGATTATTAATTACAGCTTTTTTTCTATCGTCATTGTAAAATTGCTGCTACTAATAATAGATCATGAGAGGGAGGAAATGATTGGAGATCAAATGTAAAATCCAGTTTGCTCATGGGTCGTAGCTATCTTTTCATGAGTAAATTATACTATACTTATTTGCAAATAAGTTTATGCATTTTCGTTCCTTTCAATAAAAGTTTTGTTTCCCTTAAAGAAATCTTCAGAATGTTTTACCTTACCTTTATTTTTAATGTCTATATCATATTTTTAAAATGCAGATCTTATCATTTTTGATAAACAGTCATCACAAAGGATGAGGCAGAATTTGAGAATGTTGGTGGAAGAAACAGAACGTCAGCAGAGCATGATACAAGAGCTCATAGAAACTAATCAGCAGCTTAAGTAAGAAACTGAATTATTTGTGTCCTTAAAAATAACTACTTTGAAAAGAAACCTAATATTTAATTTTTCATTTTGATTAAGTGTTAAAATTTTAAACTACTTTTGTAGGTAAATCGGTAAAATTTCAATAGATATGTTGGTAATAGCTTAGCATAGATGATATAGTCATATTGTCTATTAGTTTCTGTCCTAGAAATGTTGATTGGGTATAGCTCAGTAGAAGATCATGTGCTTATTATGCTCAAGGGCCTGCATCCAGTCCTTAGCGCCAAAACAAAGATACAGTATTAAGAATGCAGAGAAATTTCAGAAAGTAAATTGTTCAACATGTTCGGTGATTTGGTTTATTTTTAATACTAAGGATTGGAATTATGTCTATTAAATTAGAAATGAACTTCAGCTAGAAAAAAGCCGAGCTGCACATGAGGAACAACGAGCTAATGACTTGGAACAAATTATGGAGAGTGTAAAATGCAAAATTGGAGAATTAGAAGATGAATCTCTAAATAGGATTTGTCAGCAACAAAATAAAATGAAAGATCTTCAAAGGGAACACAGAACTTTACAGGTACTGAATTATGCATTCTCTTAAATGATGATTTGTATTAAAACAGCTCATAATGGTCCCAGGTGACTTCGATGTTGCTTAATTCAGTGTATTTTTTATTTTTTAACTTATTTCACCTATCAGTGTGATTTTTTTGAAATACCTTTTGTTTGGTTTCCAGAGTAGCCCCTTTGTTTTTCTTTCTTATTTCACTTGCCATTTAGTTCCTTTGTTGCAGAATCTTCTTATCTACCTAACATCTTGGTGTTGAAATTCTCTTTGACCTTTTCTTTTTTCTGGATTTGCTATAGTAACTCATGACTCACAGATTTATATCTGTAAGTCAGATTTTTCTTCTAGTCCTTTACTCATGGACAGCAATCTCTATTGAATATCTGATAAGCATAGGACTTTACAGGTGTAAAACTAAATTATTTTTATCAGAATGGCAATATTATAATATTGAATACTCAATTTCCTAATTAAAAATATTAAAAGTTTGCTGTTATTTGATAAAAGGAAATGATGAGAAAGATGGAATTGTCCCTAGAGTATAATTATTTCACAGCTTAAGACAGGTTCTTCTATTTTTAGTATATAATTGTTTCCAAGTTGAGAATGATTTAGTTTTGTGTATTTCACAGTTGGGGGCAAGAAACACTGGTTTTGTATGTATGTGGCGAAAGTCAAGGAAATCAACATGCTTGAGACATACTGAAAGATTGTTAAGGAGAAAGACAATTCACGTTGGCTTAGGGTACTAACAGCATCAGTATCTGGTTTTGTGCATCACACCTGGCTCGCGTTTGCTTCTAGTAGGTATCTAGGTTCACTAGTAATTTGGGGTCATCTTAGCTTCAGTTTCAGAGATTGTGATTATTGAAGCTAAGCTTCAGCCCCAAAGAGAACTGGTCTAGTTCTAGTTCACCCTTACTCTTAGCATGTAGGGTAGAATTTTCCTATATCCATGTCTATTTTGCATCTCCTGAGTATCTAATTTTGTTTCTGTAGTCCTGCCAGGATAATAGAATATAATAAATAAAATAGAATAAGAATAGAATAGAATAATTAAAAATAAAATAGTAAAATATCTTTGCTCACTTTCGTACCTTCCATGACTCCTTTTCAGATATTTCAAAACAGGGGCTACATGGCTCCAGAAGCTCCTCCAAGATCATAGCTCTATACAGTTTTTCACTTCCTTGTTAGGACTTTCAGATTTTTAAAATACATTTTGATCTTCTTTTTAAAGTTTTCCTCAGTAGAAGAGTTGGTCTGAATTACCTAGTCTCTCATTTACAGAATAGGATTTTTAAAAATTCAAGTATATAGTGGTATGGCTTTTGTGTTATCAGTGTGTGATTATTCTAATATGAGAAGTTCTTGGGCTGGGGCGATAGCTCAGCAGTGTAAGCACCTGCCTGGAGAGCTCAGGGTCAGTCTCCAGGACGGCATGCCATACTTCAACCGAAGCTGGATGTAGTGGTGCACATCTGTAATCCTAGCGCTGGGGAGGCTGAAGCAGGAGGATCACTATGAGTCTGAACTGCATAGTGAGACCCTGTACCAAATACATAAATAAAAACAAAAAAAGAGAAGTTCTTTGTAGGTTTGGGCTATTGTGTATTACTTCTTTAGGTCTTTGTTCATGATGTTTTCTTTATGTCCCTGGTTGTATGTTATAAAAGGCATAGTATTTCAAAAAGTTTTATGGGCACCAGGAACCATTTGAAAACTAAGGTGAAGACATCTTATTTCAGGGACTAAGCTCAGTCATAACCTAATTTTAATCTCCTTAGGTGGAAGAAGAGAACCTTAAATCAAAAGCTTAGATAAAGGAGTTGGAGAAATGATAGTTCCAGTATAGCACTTGATGAAAGGAAATGAAGTCCTTTTTAGTAAGGTGCTCTTGCATAGTTCATGGTTTTGGAGAAAAAGTAAACTCAAAGAAGTGAAGTTAGCTTTCAAAGCTCTTTCCCCAGTGATATTTGTAGATTCCTGAACATTGAGAGCATCCAGGTTTTCCTTCATTCTGTCAATGTGGTGTATCTTTTCCTCTCCTTTTGTTGAATTATTCTAGCATGTCAAGAGTAAGTCTCCCTTGTACCTGGTGTATAGGTAATCCTTTTCACATACTATTAAAATTTGGTTTGCCAGTGTTTTATTGGGATATTTGCATCAGTAATGGATATTTGCTATATAGTACTCTTTTTATGTATTTGGAACAGGGTCTCACTACATAGATCAGACAGTGGTCCTCCTGTTTTCAGTCTCCCAAGCACTCCGGGTCTCAGTTGCCATCTTAGTGCGCCTGGGGGTGGGGCCAGCATGGCACATAGGGGGTTGAACCCTGGCCGCTGCACTCTGCCTAAGCAGGCACTTTAGTCCACGGAGCTATCTGGCTGGCCTTATATAGTATTCTTTTCTGATAATGCCTTTGGCTTTAATATTAAGCTACTGTTTATATCATATAATGAATTAAGAAATAATTGACTTCTGTATGCTGCTCTTATGTCATACAACTTTACAATACTCAGTGGATGTAGGTTCATGACCAACTTACACAAGCAGGTGTTAGCACCCTCATCACGTGGCTACAGTGGCCTTGCCAGATATCCAGGGAATGCTGAGGTGGAGGGTCAGTTTCACATGTAATCCATGATTACTAGGAGATACGATGTTACCAGAAGCCAAAGCCTTTTTCTCTTTGAGAGTTGCTAAGTCTCAACAAACTTCATACAATGGACAGATGAACATGTGCTTGGATATGGGTGTTCCTTTTTGAAAAGAATGTATGGTTGTAACTTGTAAGTCATGTGGGGAAAAGCTTATTATTGAGCTTTATACAAGTATATTAATGAGTGAGCAAGCATTTTCTAATGAACTTTCAAACTGGGGTAGAAACTATAAAATAAGGGGAAACCAGGCAAGTAATAGCTTGCTTAAAATAAGGGAAGCGAATGTCTAAGACTCTTTTGCATAAATCCCAGAGTGTATACTGATTATTTCTTGACGATAACTTCCTGGTTATAGACTTACCTGTGAGTTTGCATTCTCCCACATTGCCTGAATGCCCAAGATAACATTTTCAGTTCTACATTTTCATTGGTCACTTATGAACCTTAACTTTCATTCCTGATTCTCTTTGAACATTCTCCATATTGGTTCCTGCCTGATTATTGTTTCCACCTAAACCTAAACATAAAATTACCAGTTATGGGTGTTTTTGTGTTGATGTTGTTTTCAATACTCATTACTTAGTGCAAGCTGGCCTTGGACTCACTTACATAGTCTGGACTGGCCTCAAACTCACAGCAATCCTCCTGCCTCAGCCTCCTGAGTGCTGTGATTACACGTAAGCACCACCCTGCCTGACCCAAAATTAACCAATTTTATGGATATTCTTAAATTTCCTACTAAGAACTCTTAAATGCACTCTTGAATGCAACAGCCCAGTAGAAACTGAATATATCTTAGATCTTAGGACAGTGTGTTATAAGTGTATGTATCATAATTTTTTTTTTAAATTTCTGTTACAGTCAAAATGCCAACATTACAAGAAAAAACAAATGGAACAGCAACAGACTATTGCTTCTTTGCAAAAGGATGTCTGTCGATTAACAAAAGAGGAAGAAGAACGAATTATCACTCAAAACAGAGTGTTTGCCTATCTCTGCAAAAGAGTTCCTCATACAGTCTTGGACCGACAGTAATATTTACCATATAATATGATAATGCTAGATTCACTTTTTAGAAAACTGGTTATATCTTGGGAGTGGTTCTGTCTTTTATTACCCAGAGGATTCTCCCTCTGCTTTCTTTTTTTTTCCCTCATCCTGTACAGTTCCTTTGTCCTAGAACTCTTGAGGAATGAAATTAGATGTTTACTAAAAATAACTCTAAACATTTAAAATTAATTCCCATCTATTTTTTCTCAATTATTGAATTTTTTTCTCAATTATTGAATTCTGTACTAGTAAAAAATAACTTTTTACTAGTACAGAAAAACATAGAAGTTGTACTTTCACTGGTTTCTGGAAACTTGCTTGTTTTTAGGTCTTAGCTGTTGGGACTGTACACCCATGCTCACTGCAGCATTAGTCCCAACAGCTAAGACCTAAAAACAAGCAATGCAGTGAGCATGGGTGTACAGGTGCCCCTTAGTAGTGATTTTGTTTCCTTTGGATAGTGAGATTGCTGGATCAAATAGTAGTTCTCTTTTTAATGTTTTGAGGAACCTTCATACTGCTTCCCGTAATATCTGTAAATCTACATTCTGATCAGCAATGTGCAAGGTTCCCTTTTATCTCACCAGCACTTTTTACTTTTAGTTTGGTTGCTAATAACCATTCATTGGAGTGAGATAATAGCTTATTGTGGCTTTCATTTGCATTTTCTGGTGATTAGTGATAGTGACCATTTTTTCATAGATGTTAGCATTTTATATCATGTTTTGAGAAATGTTTATTAAAATCTATTTTTCTGGATTTTTTTTTTCCTATTGAAATTGCAGAGTTCCTTGTCTATTCTGATTATCAATCACTTTTTTATCAATCACTTTTTAAGTGTATAGTTCGCAGTGTATATTTTCTCCTATTTTGCAGGTTATCTGCACTGTTGACCATTTCTTTTCCTGTATCCAGTCTCTGAAATTTGCTGTAATCACATTTATTTTTGCTTTTGTTTCCTATGTTTTTAGGATCTTCAAAAAAATATTTTTGCCCATTCCAATATCCCAAGCAGTTGTGTTTTCTTATATCAGTTCCCTAGTTTCAATTCCTTAATCTGTTTGGAGTTATTTTTTTTTTTTTACTTTAAAGAGAATAACAAATAATAAAAAAAATTAGAAACAATATAGAACATTAAAGAACAAGATGATAGGACTTCAATAATGGTTGTTATATTACATATTGTTCTCTTCAAAGTAGTTGTTAAATTACCAAATATAAGCATGTAAAATTGGTCAAAAAATTAAGTGTTCTTTTCAGTACACCAATAGAAATTATAGTACAATTATCTTAGCCATGTATGTATTTTCCTCTTTCCTTCATTCCTTTCTTCCTTCCTTCCTTCCTTCCTTTTCTCTTTTCCCTCATTCAAGTTGTTCTTTCCTTTTGAGTGGTTTCTTTCCCTTGGGGTTGATCTTTGTAACTGGTGATAGGAGTCTATTTTTATTCTTCTCCATGTGGATATCCAGTTTTCCATGACCATAAACTCCCAGTTAATTAGCTGTCAGATGTTTCTCAAAAGTACTCATTCCTTTTAGTGAGCAATGGTATTTAGAAACCACTCTATAGGGGTTAAGTTGCATATTGATTATTGTGTTGTCAGTGACTTTTAAACTTTTCAGTAGAACTAGGAATTATATATTTCTGGGGAAGATTTTAGCCAAATCATTAGACTTTTTTTTTCCAAATTACGTGAACATTATAGCATTTAAATTTAAACTGTTGCTTTTATTTATTTTTTTTTTGTGGCACTGGTGATCGAACTCTGGACCTTGCACTACCATCCAGGTGCTTATGCCGCTAATCTATTTCCCCAGACCCTGCTTTTATTTTTTAATTCTTAGAATTTAATTTTTTTTTTTTGTGATGTTAGGATTGGAAATTAGGGCTTCACACATGCTACACATATTTTCGACCACTGAGCTACAATACAAGCCTAGCCCTGTAACTGTTCTTTTGCATGGAAGATCATTATTCCTAAGCATAATATTATAACTTCTAATTTGCTTTATCCTATAATAAGCAACAATTTTCAAAATAATAAATTTGCTAATTATAAGCCTATTGTATATAAGCCCTTTTGTATTTTTCACTTAATGTATAACTGATTGCATTTTAGGAATTTATAGTGGGATTGAGAATATGCTGTTTGGGAATTTCTGTTG